CATGATGTCCACACTAGCCCAGGAAGGTGCCCGCCTCTTGCGGTCCAGGGCAAGCTCCCGGGAGCCGCCAGCCTGGTCCCGGGAAGAAGGGAAGGGCTGGGGGGCATCAGGTGGGTGGCTCGAGCCGTGCCAGGTGCAGGGTCTGCTGGCTGGGTGGTGGCAGGCCTGCCTGTGGGTGGGGAGAGGAGAAGAGTTTTCCTGGTTGTGCCCAGAGAGGCCACCAGGGGAAACCTGGGAAGGGCTAGCCTCCCACTAGTTCGAATTAAGGGGCTACACACCCCTTAATTCGAACTAGTAAATTCGAACTAGGCTTAATCCTCGTGGAATGAGGATTACCTAGTTCGAACTAAGTGCTCCGTTAGTTCGAATTAAATTCGAACTAACGGAGCGCTAGTGTAGCGCCTATGAAAGTTAGTTCGAAGTAACATCTGTTAGTTCGAACTAACTTTGTAGTGTAGACATACCCTAAGAGAAGAAACAGGAGGATGGAGTAAACGGATCTCTTTAGTGCAGATACTCCTTTTCCTCAGCTCCCAACATTACGTTCCAAGTCAGCAATGATTTGGCACCAGTTCTACTCCTTTATCCATTGTAGTACGTTATTTCACGTCTATCACTACTTCCCCTAAATCCTTAGGGTATGTCTACACTACCACCCTAGTTCGAACTAGGGTGGTAATGTCGGCAACCGGAGTTGCAAATGAAGCCCGGGAAATTCAAATCCCGGGCTTTATTTGCAACTCCGGTTGCCGACATTACCACCCTAGTTCGAACTAGGGTGGTAATGTCGGCAACCGGAGTTGCAAATGAAGCCCGGGAAATTCAAATCCCGGGCTTTATTTGCAACTCCGGTTGCCGACATTACCACCCTAGTTCGAACTAGGGTGGTAATGTCGGCAACCGGAGTTGCAAATGAAGCCCGGGAAATTCAAATCCCGGGCTTTATTTGCAACTCCGGTTGCCGACATTACCACCCTAGTTCGAACTAGGGTGGTAGTGTAGACATACCTCATTTAGTAATGTTAATTCCTGTACAATGAATATTAATAGGCAGGTGATTAATATTATTATACCCATCCGTGTTTACAGGATTTTCAAGTAGACCACAACGTTTCTACATTACGTACTTCTTGAATTAACAGGTTACAAAGGTTACAAAGGATGTGACCCTGAAAGAATTTTTACAGAGCAAGCGAGAAGACAAAAGAAAGACTACTCTGATCAGTGCAACTATCTTTTTAGGCTGCAAGGATGAAGAGGAAAAAACATGTTCAAAGGACAATTTCACTATTGCCTTCCTGAACCCCTATTAATTCTTACACATCCCAACAGAAACCCAATACTTTTCATGAAAAGCAGACACTTCCTCGAAGAAAAAGTTTACTCAAGCTCCTTATGTTCAGCCAAAATGTCAATGGAAATTTTACACCAATCCTAAAATTTTGCCTTTCAGGCACCAACCCATTTTGGAAATAATTATTCCGAGGACATAATCCAAGCTACAGCAACATTTAGGATCCTTTAAGATAACACAGCCTGATTTCTCTGCCCCTTAAATTTGGCAGGATGGAGAATAGCAGAGTGGAAAGAACTGCCCTGGAAACTGCAAACTGTTACTAGTCCTTCCTCAAACCATATATGGGTAAGAAGAGGAGGCACCTTGTGCCTGCTTTGCTGTGCATTTGAAAAAGTAACCAGTCACAATCTGGCCCTCGGTGTGGATGTTGCAATAGAATTCTAATACTTCTAAGGCTATGTGGACTAATCAGCAGTTGAACTGCCAACTGCCTCATTAAGCCGCATCTAAATAATCAACAGGAAAAGCAAGGATGAAACTGAAGGTCAGTTAACTCAGGATCCATTACTCAGTAGTTTGGAAAGAACGTCAGTGAGCTGTCATCTAGAATAGGAACTCCAGTTAGTAAGTCCTTGCAGGCCCGTTTGGAGAGTGATTCAATGGCCATTGCAATCAGTAGAAAGACTCCCATTTACTTCAATGTGAATTGGTAAAGGCTCTAAGAGAAGCTGGCCAAGGTATTGCTATTCATAATTTGGCTTAAAATGTCTGAGTAGAAAGCAAGAAATCTTCTTATGTTTTTATGTGTTTATTGAAAGCCATTTTATTGGACAGTGGGACTTCAGCAG